TAATATTTGAGAAAGAATAATTCATAGAGTACAAAGATAACGATTAGTATCGTATAATCAAGTATACATATAATTATTTAATTTAAAACTCTGATTTTCGAAATTTCATTTAAACATACACTATACGTTTTCGCTGCGACGAAGAATGCGGTATAGTCTTTGCGAGATCAATCAAATCCGACAACTCACTCGCATCGTTCGAAACATGCGATGCATTATGAATGCGATCCGAAGCTAATAAGGAACGAGGTTAAAATCCAAACTATGTATGCGTGTACGTGCATCAAACATCTGTCCTGGACAAGCGTGCAGTTTGCCAGCGGGTTATTTAATTTAAAACTCTGATTTTCGAAATTTCATTTAAACATACACTATACGTTTTCGCTGCGACGAAGAATGCGGTATAGTCTTTGCGAGATCAATCAAATCCGACAACTCACTCGCATCGTTCGAAACATGCGATGCATTATGAATGCGATCCGAAGCTAATAAGGAACGAGGTTAAAATCCAAACTATGTATGCGTGTACGTGCATCAAACATCTGTCCTGGACAAGCGTGCAGTTTGCCAGCGGGGATGCAGCAAAACTGAGCTGACAAAAATACGAGACAAATCAAATCTGTTTGTACAAAACGAAGAAAATGAAAATAATAGAATCGGGCCTTTGAATTAAGAACATCGACATGGAACGATGCACCTGTATAAGGATTTTCGTGACGTACCGGTGATTTGGCGTGTTTAGCAAACGACTTGACGAGTCATTAAACAGAGAACACTGGCAATTAATTATCACGTTTGCGTAATCGCCGCTCGACGCCGGTGGAGGTGTGGTTGCGCAACTATCGCTCATTCTGTTCTCTCCTCTCCTCTCATCTCTCGCTCTAACCGGTAACCGGTGATCCCTCTTCACCCCCTTCGCGGTCGATCGGGGCCCTGCTGACCCACCGCCCCCGCCGCTACCACTTCCTTCTGCGTCGTACCAGAACCCACAGTCTAATCGTTCGTGCCGGTAACCTTAATTTTTCCTTGCCATACATGCGACCGGCGCACAAACCGAACCGATCGACTCGTAACATTTTTCCCTCAAAGTCGTTCCACGTTCGTAAAATTATACTCGCGTGCTCGCGTGGTGTGACATATAAAAATGTATAAAACGCGCAGAATTGACCAGCGTAAATGGCATGTTTGTTATATTTATATTCTACCAAGAACAGTTCACGCGGTCCCGTTGTTTTTCCTTCAATCGATTCTCCATTGATTTTACCAGGGAATCTCTTCCTGGCACCGAACCGGCTGTTTGTGTTACAAATGAGCGGTCGATTCTTTGCCGCGATAATAGCCGGTCGTACATCAACACGCAAGAATGCGGTAGAATATAATTCTATTAAAAGACGCATTCGCCAATGGCAAAAGAAGATTAAATGCCGTGACGAGCTGTACTTACGATGCGTTTTAGAAAGCGAATGTCTGCCGCGTCGATTTTAAAATAACGTTGCCGCGTGTTGGCAACGCGAGGTGAGAAGACGCATTGAAAGACGTGGCGATACGTCTTTTAGGCATTCTACACGATATGCGTGAATACAGAACGATTTATGGGGCACGGTTAATTAAATTTTTTTAATTCTTCATATTTCATTCGAAATTCAATTAAACATATGAATACCGTCGGTTTACGAAACGCTTTTAATCAACGCTTTTACGGAAAAAGAATTGTTTGCTTCTCTCTTTGGGAATTCATTTGTAAATAACATTTAATTAAATTTACCCTCCACAAATTACTCCATTAACATGATTTTATGATTAGTACTTATTGAGGTCTTAATATTGACAATGACGCGTTCTCCCTTTTTTTTAAACTGGAAATTAAATAAATGAAATGTGAAAAGAAAAATAAGAACAAAATCGGATCGTGTAAAGATAACATCTAAATGCATTCCAGGTCATGAAATGGAAACCGCGTACGAGATTATCCTTTATCTTCCATCCCGGTACAATTACAAATTTCATGGTGGCACTTAACACTATGCAAAGTAAGTATTCTAATGAATATTCAAAGCGCCCCGGCAGGAATAATTGCAGTTCCAAGTATCTACGTTGAATCTCGCAGATTGCGTCGCAACAGCGGTAATTTAAATAGATTTACATTAAAAATAAACATGCCAAAACATCCATCTAAACAGGTCAAACATTAATACGCCGCGAAACACCAAGACACTCTTCCTCGGACAACCATTTCCCATTTGAATGAAATTGTAATTGTAAATTACTCGAATAATCTCAAGGACGCAGACGTGAATAATTTCGCTGCCATTAATTTCTTATTCTCAATGCTACCTTATTTCGTTTGAAATATTTTTTATCGCTTTGAATTCAGAAGAAATCAACAGCGAACCGACCAAAAGGAATCTTTAAATAAAAAACAATCTTAAACAGAGGAAGGAACCTGTAGACGGTGGCGAACATCAAAGAAAATTCCCATTAATAATGTTTATATTTAAGGTCTCTCTGTGAAACTTTTAATTACGTTACAAACAAGCCAAGATCGGTCGCCACTTCATTTTAGTCGTTGTATTTACTATTTCAACGCGAATAGTGGGTGGCAGACAACAGTCGGATGAAAAAGTAAAAAGGAGCAGAAGACGATAGAACGAACTTCAAAGCTATAGCCACGGTTTGATACAGGAGCGTGGACGAGAAAAATAAGGGGGATCAAGACGGGCACCTAGAAGGTACATACGAGAAGAGAGAACGAAAAGAGACAACAGGCTTGTGGATATTATAAATCAAGAAGAGGTCCGTAAAGGGAACGTCGGTGGCGAAGGCGAAAGAAGAGAGAAGAAGAAACTTGCGAGGGAAGATACGCAGGGGCAAGGGATAAGAGGCGAGGGGAGAGAGAGCATAGTCGTACATCACCGGCGGTATTTACGACGTACCATCGTAAATCAATGATCGCACGAACAGCGCGGTTCAACGAAATTCCTTTTCCCTTCCTATATACGCTCTCCCTTCCTTCCGACCATTCCTCCGCTTCCTGTACACGAGCCGATGTGAGAATCTGTCCTGCCATACATCGCCGCTGACGGTGGATGCTGAAGCCTAAGAATCTTTGAAGGAATTCTTAGCTCACGGCCAAGATATATCGTCGATTTATCCGGCAAGACAAAAACTATTTGTCTCCGCTAGCAGAAATTTCGAGCGTAAGATGAATCCATCGCGCCGTTTTCACCCCACGCGATTTACGTGATCACATCCTCAATTTAATGTATGATACTTTTAGCGATAGACACACGTTTATGAATTATTTTGAATTCTATTAAAAAACTACAGAAGAAATCCAAATACCGCTGCTTTAATCACGCATTTCTTTGATCTCTTTTCTGTGACAAATATAGACTACCTCCTTTTTACGTGATATGTATCCGACGGAAACGACTGGACACGGCATCAAAGCATCCAAATTACGTTTCCAAGAAGAAAAGAGAGTAGGAGGAAAAAAAAGATAAAAAAGGTATAAATCAGAGTGACCATGTGCCCGGATGGTTTCGGTCCAGAAGGAAAATGGGCTGGGGTCATTCAATGTAGCAGGCAACGAAGCATTGTTTGTCGGACCCTTTAAACGTCATTTAAACCGTGACTCCTGCCAGCCCAGGAAGGATCGTTTTAACGAGATTCGAGACAGACCAGGTCAGGCCTATTCTAGCACGGCACACGAGTGATGCCCTTTACATCTCGACGAAGCACCTCGAGGAATCAACTTCCCTCGTTCGACACAAAAGGTGCCCCCCTAGTCACAGCTGATCCCGGTTGATCCGTGTAAAATCACGCTGCGCGATTGTCGAGACCCCGACCTCATCACTTGCCAAGTCATCTGCAGAAAGGTGAATCTTTGCGACCGTCTCATAAGCTTTTCTACAAAATACGATTTTGTGTCATATGACGACTCGTTTCATAATAAATGCCAGCTAAAAAGAATATCTATTTTATCCAATAAAAACAATGCCTTGCAAATAACGCTTAAATAACTTCGTTACATAAATTTTGCGCCCGTCAGAGAATTTAATCCGTACAATTCTTACACGTTCTGTGCAGAGACCAGACAAATGGTCCTTTAAAAACACGAGCGGATAACCAAAGGAAAGCGACAGAGGATGCGTAGCATCTTGCTGGGGACAGCCGTAAAAAAGGCGGGTGGAAAAGATGAAAGTGACCCTCGAACGGACTTTGAAAAGAGCCATAAAAGTACAATGAGGGGTTAGAAGGAAGACGCCTTCGCTTTCCACGTGCTGGATGACGACGGAGGCGTTCAACGGAGGGCCTTGGATCCCAGAAAATTCGTGTTTTTTTACTCGTACGTCGAGAGAGATTACAAAGGACCAAAAGGGGACAGAACCTTTTTAAGTTTTCTGGAAAAGATGCGAGTGTCATCGCGCTTAGACGATGACTTATTACGAAACGATACATCGTTATCAGAACGGACTCAGGCATTTTTTGTATAACTTCGTAATTCTACGCGTGCAAGCGGATAAGAAACGTCTCACGTGGCGATGTCTCACCGAGTTTTTACCCTAATTTACCGGTCGCTTCACTAATCTTATTTGCTCGAGCTGGACGTAGTTTAATTCCATTAGCGAAATTAAAGTTCTAGCAGGAGTATTTAACTGCGGATCGATGCCACTAACCCGCCGACCATTAAGATAAACCCTGGTAAAGTGAATTCCGAATAACGCGATGAAGTGAAACTTTCCAAATTCCATTTTCAAAAAAGTATAGTACATGCTAAATAAATTTCAATTTCATGTTATCTTAACATAGAACCCAAAATAGTACGAACGTATATTAGCGTACGCTAATTAAATTAGAAATAATCAACCGGATAAGAAAGAAGTATCACATTCACAAAAATCATGCATTATTAACGTCATGAATTCGAAATATGTATGTACATTCGTAATTACGGAATATTTACCAAAATATGGCATAAATAAGGATGTCAGACTGACCTGATATAAATGATGCCTCCGTTACTGCATATCCTTTTCCATCCACGTGGCACCGTAATCGCTTGTTGCTGCTGTTGTTGCTGTTGTTGTGTATCCACCGCACTCCCGTTCATTGTCAACACACTTTGTTGAACAGCATTATTGTTATTGTTCACGTTGTTGATACACGGCTGACGCGCAGCCTGCTGCGCGCACGAACCAGCACCGTTAACCGTCGCCGCGACGGACAAACCATCGTGTGCCGATTGACTTTGATCTTCAGGGCTGCTCAAGCTACTATACGTCGACGATTCACCGGTATCAGAACGGACAGAGTCACAGCTAACAGCACCACTACCACTACTACCGACAACCATACTGCCGCCACCACTGACAACACCGACATTCGAACTGGACGAGGATAGCGACGAGCCGGTTTGATTATCGAAACCGTCCTGTTGCCGGCTTTTCTCGTCCATAATGACTCGCTGCTCGACATTCTCGCCTTGAAAAACACCCGTGAACGCCTGAGACGATTCGTTTCCCTGTTGCACATAAGCGACGCAGTCGCTGTCGTTTAAAAGACCGACACAGCCCTCGCCTGGATTCTCCTGTGCGATTCTACTACCGCTATTATAGCCGTCCGTCAACCTTGCTCCAGCCGGGTAAATCTCGCCGTGAATCCTCGATGGAAATAATTTATTAGGTATCATTCCACCGGCGTTTAGCCTTCCGATCGTTTCCACATTGTTCGACACGAAATTCTCCGTGCTACTCGAATCGTTCTCCAACAGACCATGGTTGACTTGATTCTTACTATCACACGCCGTCACAGCACAGGTCATTGTCGTAGCCGCGGACGTGTTGGTCGCCTGAACTAAATTCGTGGTCTGTCCGTAGGGCAAGCCGCCGTTGTTCGAGACGATCGTTCCATAATCGTCTTCGTCTTCTGTGTTGCCAGTGGAGAGGGACCGGGCTGACCGGCTCGATTCCCCGTCGGTGGACACATACTCCAGCGGTTTTAACCGGCAACAGTTATTAACCGTGCCACCGACGGCACTGTTGTTATCGTTACAGTAAATGGCGGTTTTGGCGGGAAACGTCGCCGCCGCCGTCGCCACCTGCGGCGGCAGAATGCTGGCGTACGTCGCCTGCTGCGGGGATTGATACCCAACTGCGGTAGCAGCAGCGGCAGCGGCGGCGGCATTCTGACCAACCGCCGTGGCGTACGCAAAATTTTCTCCTGATACGTAGACTAGAACGCTATTCTGTTGAATGCCTTGCGCGTGCTGCGGATGCTGCTGCGGATGTTGCTGCTGTTGTTGTTGGCTATGATGATGACGATGACCGTGGTTCGGAAGAGCAGGGTGCGTGGACGGCTGCTCAGGCTTGCCCGCCATGGTCCAGGTCCAGCAGCGCTGCGAATAACCCCGACACCGACATCACTGGAACGCTGGTAGCACGCCTACGTGGAGACACCTCCAGGTTCTGCTGCATCCTCAGTACACGGATATGATCACGCGCCCGTTACTGGATTTCCCGAAATCCGCCGCGTTTTCTCAGTCGTTACCTCTAACCACGCGCGTTCACCGATCTTTGGAATCCCGCAGCTATCGCTCGACATTCTCGGCTTCACCGCGCACGGCATAGCCAGACTGATGATTCCACTGACTTATTCTTCCTTCCCAAACTTTTCTCGTATTCTTGCACCAAACTTTCCAATCAGACGCACTGTCACGAATCGCTCTGGTGGTATGTAAATGATCGCAGATCGCGCCTTACGATAACTGTGTCAATGATTTTGGAATTGGAGTCTAGCCGTCAAACAAGATGAGCTATTCATCGGTCAATGGCCGTCTAACTTTTCCGACGTGATCAAGAGCATTACTTTACTTCTTTTTAAAAGTTGTTGTATGAGCCAACGGGTTTCTTCCATAATCAAACATCTTGAGATTGCACGATCACTACTGTAGAATGTAAATATATCATATTTTCCGGAATAAATTTGATGACAACTGCTTAAAGAACCGTACAACGTTTCCCTCCAAACATTAATTCGTTGTACAAAATTAAATTACGCAAATGATGTTGTGTAGAAGAAAATTACGGTTCCAGTATTATTCACAAGGTCGACTTGCAAAGCGGCAGCCCATTCATTTGTCTCGTTCACCGATTTAGTCGCGTCGAAACTAAACACACACAACCGGGCTAAGCATTTATCTAACCTAGACTCTTCAACACACTGCTATTCATAATACATGTAGCAAATTACCGCTGATAATAAACTGTGTTAGACGTAGACTCCTTCCGAACGTTGGAAAACACCGAGGAGCAAGTCGACGTTATAAGTAAAACTTTGGTAAAGAACATACGTGATGCTTGAAAATAAGAGAAATTGATCTTCCTAAGAAAGTCAGGTCGTAAAGGTCGTTATGTCATTGCCACGGTTCCGTCGCATTATTCCCGGTCGCAGTTCCAATTATTCCGTTTCACATGTACGCACTTTTCAATGAAAGAATAACGAATATCACACTCGATTATGTCATGTCGCGAACCACTGTCACTGAAAAAAAGAACCACGCTTTGCCGAATCTTCGTTCACGCACCACAGAAGAAAGCCATTTTCTTGGACACTGAATATATAAAGGTTAATCATGACCGAGCTACCGCAACTCGCTCGATCGGTAATACCGCGAATGCACTCTTGCTACAAAAAACACTTTGTATTGCCGTAACAATTCGCGTTAAATTGCACGGACGGACGTACGTCGTGTTATGACGCTGTGTCATCGTCACAGCAGCAGTAGCACCACCACCACCACCACCACCGTCCTCCGCCACCACCACCACTAGTATTACCACCACTACCACCACCAGTCGCGGTTACGAACTCGGGTTAAGTTAACTAACCCTCTTCTCGAGTCGAACACCTGCGCGGCCCGCGCTCATCGTTTTCACCGAACCTCACTTCTTGATCGCGTAGAAACGCACGCTTGTTATATCCCGATCGGCACAGCCGCCTTGTTTCCTCCCGTCGATTCCCTGTCGTCTGCTCCGTAGTCACTTAATTTCCGTAGAGCACTGCCTCCGTACGGTAAACTGAAAGAAATTCTATTCTGCGGATGCTATGTGTACGCTGTTTTCGCGTAACTGATATTGGAAAAATATGGCTGCCTCCGCATACCCAGAAACCTTTGCGGCATCTCCACGGCTAGCTTTCGGCCACTCGTATATACGTACATTACAAAAACATCGACCCTTGACGCGATTATATCGCCATCGTTAGGCTATTTTACGTAACTCAAAAGGCGCGTTAACATTGTTACATCTCGTGGAAGATACTATTTAAATGCCTGCATAGATTGTTCGTGTTCTCGTTTGTTATTTATATTGCATGCATAATAATTACGTATTCTTGCTTTTACGAGAAACATTAGAATGTCAGAAAATCGTGCGTGTCATTATTTCTTTAGCTGAGTTTGTTATAAATTAAAGTGGGATATTTAAAAAATAATTTAGGTGAACACGGCATGCATATGATAGGACACGGGTCAAATTTTATAACACTATGTTTCGACATACTTGACATTATACTTTTACCAATTTATTCGAGACGATCCAAAAAATGTACTAATCAATCATCAATTTATCTAATAATAAATAAGATTATAATACGCGTCTATTTGAAATTCGCTATAGTAATTGCGGACGTGTACGTGACCTTGCATACAGTAAATTATGTGAATGTTTGAAGACGTCTTTAATGCCGATTTACGATCACAAAAACGGTTCTTTACGCGCATTACTTGCCTTGAAGGAACGAAATGTATATCTCTAATAAATTTCCAGAAATTACGTAAAAACTTTTAATTAAAGTAATTTTCAGGAATAGCCTATACTTCCAGTTCCATCACTATAATTAAACACTGAAATCTTGTTTCTTTTTATTACAATAAACAATATTCGTGAACATGCGCAGCAATTCACTTTCGCACAGTGGAACGAACGAATTAATATGCAAAATATTTTCGTATAGTCATATTTCGCGAGTAAATTAAACGCTACACCTAATGGAATAATGTCCCGCTTAAAAAGAAGTCAAAGTTGACGATCGAGAATGCATCAAAAATTGTTTGTTATAAAATGTCTCAACGTAGCTCGTAGAGATTGTACAATAATCATGTTACTAGTATGGACTTTATCTATATCGAAAAGCCCATGTAACGAAATACACTACAATTTAAAGAACTTCAGGTAACACGAATACATATAAAGTATTAATTTAGTTCGACTGCCTAAGTTTATTTTTTGCATTCAGTATGCGCGTAATGGTGAGAACTGTTAAATATAAAGAAATTGGATAGCAAGAGATAATCAGAATGTTTAGCGTTACATGATACAATTGATTATGTTTTGCTGTGACTATTAACATTACACGACGTTACATTAGATGTCGAGCAAGTTCTCGTTTCCTTATCACTTCGTTCAATGATAAGTACATTATTTTTTTTTTATTACTTTCTACAACAAGCGATAAACTAATTGTAACCAGTTGGCCAGTTTTCACCAGAATTTATGTAGTTTAATTCAGAAGTAATGATGATGATTCCATTAACAGCATTAATAGTATCCTATTCAACTCAATAACTGTGGTAGTTATTGAGTTATATCTCCATGTGTAACTTTCACAGTCGTGCACGTGTCCAAACATTTTTTCGCAAGTTCTTTTTCATTTCTTTTCCCGAAGAACTGTATATGTCCGCATTTTTTCATTCTCCTGTTAATACATATGATCCAGAATCGAGCGAATGGGACAGAAGTTTAAAATGAAAGAATGACCATATTTATTGTGAGACTGATGTAATTAAATTAATGTGTGGCACATTGGACTCGCGAAGGTCCTCCTTCGTCTTCCTCGTATGCTTGTCGTTGATTTCGCCTCGCTTCTTGCTCTGGATCCAAATCCATTAAATTGCATTCCTCTGCTCCTTCTGGAATTATAACTTCTTCCCTCGGAGGTAGACATTGCTCAAGAGTCGAAATAACAGACGGGTCAACAGTTTTCGGAAAATTCACTACAAATTGAATTATAAGCCTGCCACGTGTAAATGGATCTTTGTAAGTCGGCATTCCTTCATTCAATATGCACTTTAAGTCTCCGTGCCTTATTACAGATCCAGGATACGAAGTTATTACTAGATCTCTTGCATCCAAAGTGCGGATTACCTTTTGGAATCCGCACAATGCCTCGACGAGTTCTAATTGCATCCTTATGATTAGGTCGTTGCGTGAGCGCCTAAAATGATATAATTAGTTAAGCACAAGGCCAATGTTCGATATATACTCAAGTTAAGAATAAAATACTCACTTGAAAACATCATGTTCCTTCTCTTCGAGTAGAATCACGATATCTCCTGGCTCGTAATCTGGTTCCTGATCACCTTCTCCACTGAAAACAATCTTCTGACCATCTACCATACCTGGGTCAACGTGAACTTCTAAAATCTTTCTGTCTCTTATGGTTTTCCTCCCACTACATTGTTTGCAACGATCACGCAGGTTTATGCGTTCTCCTTGACCTTTACACTCTGAACACACGGTCTGCAGATGTTGCAGCATTCCAGGTCCCAGCTGCTGTATTTGAACTTGCATGCCAGAGCCATGACAAGATGAACATTGTTCAACGGAGCCTTTCTTTCCACCAATACCTGATACGAACGGGGATGTAAATTTTTTCCAGAAAGTATTTAACAGGTATCACCTTATAATACGTACCGTCACATTTATCGCAAATAACGTTCTTTTGTAAAGCTAATTTACGAACGGTACCCTTATACAATTCCTCTAAAGAAACAGATAACTGATGTATAACATCTTGCCCTCTGCGATCTCTCCTGCGGACATTTCGTCCACCAAAACCTCCACCAAAGAACATGTCGAAAATATCCATTGGTGAAGAAAATACATTTCCGCCACTGCCACCTTCTTTCAAAGCTTGTTCTCCACCTTGATCATAAATTCGCTTCTTCTCAGGGTTCGATAATACTTCATAAGCTTGTGAGATTTGTTTGAACTACAATCCGAATATACAACTTAAAAAGACATCTCCAACATTTATTTAGGATTTTATGTGACCAGAAAGAAAATGATACTAACTCTTTCTCCTTCATTCGGATTTTTGTCAGGGTGATACTTCAAAGCAAGTTTCCTATAAGCCTTTTTCAAATCTTCTTGTGTACATCCAGGTTTCACACCTAGCACATCATAAAAGGTGGTTTCCTTCACCATTTTTACTGATTTCCTCTTTTACAATGATCTTCACGTGCTGTAGCAGTAATTAATCTGCTAATAAAAAAAGCTAGATGAAAATATTATAACTTTTAGTATAATAAAGTAGTTATTACATCCTTAAAGCCTGCCATATTTTTTTCCCAGTCATATATATGCGCTAAAGTACGTCTAATGTACATAAGCAATTCTAAGATAAGATTATAAAGTTCAATAGAAATATGTAAGTAAACTACGAACTTCATTTAATTATTAACTATTTTATCACACTGTAATTATTATTTGAAAAAGGAGAATGGCTCAGTAGACTAGATGCTGACTCAAGATACTAATTGTTATTCAACCTAGTAATTTATGGAGTGCTTAAGTCATGAATCTATTAACCATTCTCAAAGATTACATTAAAATTTATTAAGATACAGGTATATAGGGCAGAAGTTTGAATGAAAATGCACTTGTGTCCGATTCATTATGTTCGAATAAAGAACTCCAAAAATCACGAATCATTTACATTCCTACAGAACATTGCACCCTGAAATGCAAATCCTTCTATAGCAATGAATGCGATTATAAAAATAAAATTATACCTAGTAACCTTGAACTTCATGTACATCTAATTTTAATAATGGTATAGGATGATTCAATGTGTATATAAAAAATATATAAAAAATTGTTCGTCAGTTAATTTCTTGAAAGTTCGAGTCGAATAAATATATGATGACGAACGTGTATTGGGCTTCAAAGCGTATTAATTATAAGCTTGTAGAAAATCCGAGCGAATTGTATCCATGTGCGTGTTTGGTTTCAAAATGGCGACGAGACTCATTTTGGGACAGCGGAATTTAATTAATTCACACGGAAGAGGAAAGTGAAACACTCTTCCACCAGAACGCGATATTCGATAGTATTTGGCGTGCTATGAACAAAGAACACCGCACTTTCCAGATCGTTCTGTTAACTTCTCTTAACTATATACATATATACATAGGTAGCTACGTAGTACAATAGATTTACATTACCGGACGGACACTTAAAGAAAAATATCGGAGTAATACTAGATTTAGTTGTTAGAAAATTAATGGAATCGGTGCATAGCTTATTGAAGCTAATGAAATAAGAACGGTAATTTATATCTAAATGACAAACATATATATGTACATCCAAAACTTCAGACGCGTTTAATATTGACACGAGGAAGCCAATAGAGACTCCACCATTTTTCAACCTAAAGTGCGAGTCATGGACGAACACAAGTTGTACTATGATAAAACTCGTTGATGCGTGTTTCGTAACACACAATATGCTCGTGTACGCGTAGCGCTATTATTCAGCCTTTGAACGAACAGTTCAAGGATCAGCGAAAAGGAGTTGAACCCGTGTCGATATTCCACGATGGTCTCGAATATTGCACTTCGCGTTTGCTTTTTAACGCTAAGCGAATCGCTATCGCGAAAAAAAAATTCGCAAACTACGGGATCGATCGTGTGATATAATGGTGAAAATCCTGACCGTGCACAGTTCGTTAAACGTGTGATTATTAGCGTTTAATGTTACCTGTATCAGCAGAAGGGAAGCCGCTCGACGAAAATATCCGCGTGCCGTGAACTATCGTCTCTCACTCCACGTAATAGTGTTTGACGAACTGTTGTGACCGAATAGTATTCTGCCAATATAATACTGCTGCTCTTGTGCCCGTTCTCGAAACTTCCTAGAAGAATAATGGACGTTGCTTGAAAACGGAACCAATCGCATAGACGAAGGACTGAAGCCAGCGCTAAATGCGATTACGGTCTTCCTTGGAATCTAACCATTGCACATTCTAACTGCGTTGAACATCCAAGAAGGAAGTAATTTTTGTAAAATTGTTGAATTTATATTGTATATAATTTGAAAGAAAAAGAAAGGGAAGGAGAAAGTCAGAAAGAATAAAATAATTAAAAGGCGCTTTACTACTTTAGTTATTTCATGAAAACAGTGCATTTTCATGTAAAGGATGATCGTCTATGCCCGTGCTCAAACATAGGTTGCGCTGCGTGTTTCCGCAACTGTCCTTTTGCTGTGTTTTGCTGGCGGCACGATAATCAACGAAAATGGTACGTATTTTGTATCCTAAAAATATCGATCAATCAATGAGAAAAAGATGATTATTTAGCTAAAATATAAGCATCCGTTCATGATTACTCAACTTTTGTGAATATATTGTGAAATACATTTCTTCTGTCCGTGTTTAACGTTTATGTTGTCATATCAACTCTTAAGGCAACGGTATGTCATTGTTAATAAAAAGTAAAATGTAAACAGGACTATTTCTTTTAATTAAATACACAAATACTGTACAATCAAGAACTCTTCCTTCTTCCTGGAGCTGTTGCTTTAAAGTAACATGATAATAGCAAAAATTAACATGCTATAACAAAACATAACCTCAGGATTCTATTACTTGTTATAGACAGAAGGAGCAGTTACAATCAGAACCAGGAAATTCATGAGCAATCGGCTATTATGCCGAAAACAAATGGTCGTGGATGTATACCATCCTGGTCACCCGTCCGTCCGAAAAACGGAAATTCGGGAAAAACTAGCCAAAATGTACAAAGTCACACCTGATGTAGTGTTTGTATATGGCTTTCAAACCAACTTCGGTGGTGGTAAATCCACTGGGTTTGCACTAGTCTACGATACGTTAGACTTTGCAAAAAAATTTGAACCTAAATATAGGTTAGCCAGGCATGGACTGTTTGAAAAACAGAAGCAAACAAGGAAACAACGCAAAGAACGGAAAAACAGAATGAAGAAAGTAAGAGGTACAAAGAAGAGTAAAGTAGGAGCTGCGTCTAAAAAGGTAAGATAATGCTGTGTTTATTTTTCAGTTATATGACCTCTAGTTCATACCTCTGAAATCTGTCTTCAATGGCATTGCATTTAAAACAAAATTAATAACATTTTAATATCAATCTTGTTAAAATCTTTACTAATCTACAATAATTTAGTAGTCAACTATATTTTCTTTGGTGATGGTATTCATATACTTTTGCATACCTCTCTTT